CTCTCATTCTTCATTCTTCTGAGTATACCTACAGATTCTCTCAATCATTTTGTCTTCCCCTTGGCAGTTAGGCTCTTCAGAGGTGATCGGATTCCTTTGGCTCCGCTATTTCTTGGGAATCTTTATTATCGGCTGGATCTACTACATCGAGACATGGTCCGTTCCGTGAGTCGATATGAGCCTGTCTCCTTTATCCACAACCAGTTCCTACTTTGTTTTTTCTTCGAGAGGTTCCCAAAGTTTGCCCCTACTCCGACTGTATTCGAGGCAGAGGTTCTTCGGGAGATAGTGAATAAAGATGGTATCCCCGTGCTCAGTACTGACGGGGTCTCGCACATTTGAGAAAGTGAAGACTTGCCAGCCGTTAATCACACGTTGGTCATGTGTTATTTCTACTCTATCCCTGAATTCTTTGGTGGATGATCATTGGCGCTTTGTGGCACGGCCCTATGTATGCCCACCGGTGGGTGTGGCAACGCCATTTATCTATCATGGTTCCTCCCGCCTGGTGTCCTTTCCCTTACCGAAGGGCATCTCTGTATACCTTGTTGATATGCTAATAATGGTTCATCGGAGTTCACTACTGGTATGGCATGAAGAGGGCGTTAATAGCACCGTCTATAGACCTGACAGAGTAGCATGCCAATTTGGGTTTGACCAGTGTGCCCCGGGGCCAACACCTTCTTTATTATCTTTTTCGGAAAGCTATGGGCACTTTACTCGCAGACTCGTACACACCATGTTTCCTATATCCAGCTTTTTGACTATGCTAGGCTTGAGCCAAGTAGGGGGTTTCACCCCCTCTTTCAGGAGATATTGACAGAAGAATATTGATGCATTTATTGAGTTTGTCTAGAGCAGACCGTCCATATGTTTGGCTCCGTTGATTTATAAGAAAGACTCTTCTCTTCGGCTGCCTGAGAGTCAGAAATCTGATCATATGTATGCGAGTTTCTTCGCTTCATCTGCTCTGATTGACCCTCCAGCTCGGACATCTACTTCTAGCTTGGTAATTGCTTCTCCAGAGTCAGTCCCTTTGAATAAGGCCTCTGGTCCTCGAACGACCCGCCTTAAGAAGATGGCCCACAAGAGGGCTTCTGATGCCAGTTCTTCCACTCTTTGCCTTTCCAAAAGGCTCCATCAGATACCAGATAGACATCTTAAAATTTTTTTAAAAAATTGATTTGAAGTTTCTTTTCTTCTTGCGACTATACCTTCTTAAATGAACACTTTTTATTGTTTTTGTTGTGTAGGATCCTACTCTGTCTTTTGACCCTGCGATTGCTGACGCTCTCGGTACTGTGGCTATTGGCCATGCTACCCCCACCAGGCCAGACTCAAACTTCGACGATACTTTTCCTTTGTCTGCAAGACTCATGAAGATGCGCACCCCTCGTATAGCAGTTATAGATGATGATGACGATGACGATGACGATGAGGCTGAGTCCTCCGATCATTTTTGTGACCTTGTCCCACGTATGCGTCGTCACCGTCTTATCGTGACTGAGGATGCCTCCCCATTAGTCAGATGTTCCCCTCATCGCTCAGTTTTAGAGGAGAAACGCTATCTTGGTGACGAGGTTATCGGGGCTCATTGTTCTGATGTTGAGATTATTGAGAACCATGGCTCTAATGCTGAGATTGTTGAAAGGACTAGTGCCACAGAAATTGATATCGCAGGCCATGCTTCTAGAAGCAATGTAGAGATGAGGTGTGCTTTCGCAAGACATGTTTTTGAAGGCAATGTAGAGATGAGGTGCGGCTTTTGGGAATAGTGTGGAGGTGGATGTGCTAGAAGTCTCTGAGACTCGCTCTGGCACTTATGGTGATTCTCATCCTCCAGCCTTCCTTCATTTTTCAGTAATGACTACTACTGTTCTGGTTTCATTAGACGTTAAGATCGATCAGGTGCCCCTTGTACGGCCAAGTGACTTTGTTGATGCTAGGAGCCCTTCAGTTGCCCTGACTTTGCATAATGATTCTCCTTCAGGTAATCTTTCTTTCTAAAGTTTGTCATGTACTTCCATCTGTGAGAATTTTTTTACTCAACTGGCTTTACTGCTCCCTGCCCCTAATAAGACTTCTTTATCTTTTCTTCAGTGTTGGCCGCTACCGATGTCCTGTCTTCACCTGCCTCGGACTCTGCTCTGACTCTCTTTGCAACTCCTCATGGTTCTCCTTCTCTAGGGGAGAGACCTGCCTTTGAGACGACTGCTAGAGGCTCTTCATTGCAAGTGCCTTCGAATGTTTTGGATCTGAATCTCAATGATTTCCACTTTGATAGTGATGCTTTTGGTCTATTCCCTTATCGATCCGTATTCTCAGGCTCGGGACCTCTGTCGGAAGTTACCCCTCCGGGTAGTTCATCTAACCCGATAAACATTGGGGAGATTCCTGAGACTAGTACCTTTCCGACCCAAATTCCTCCTTTGGCTTCTAGCAAAGTATCATTTCTCTATTATTGGGTAGCTCCTAAGTTTGCTTCAGTTCTACAGCTTGTGCATTCGAGTTACCCTAAGACCTTTGCTTCCTTTGCTTGCCAATGTCCACTCATTCAGACTGCTTTTCTCGAGTCTTTTTCCATTATCCTATATAGCTTGGACCGACAACGGTTATGTGACCTTAACGGGAAAGTAGTCGAGACAGCGTATCAGGGGATCTCTAACATGGAGCATCACCAAGTGGATCTATCATGGCTTCGGAAGCACCTGGATATAGCTTCGAACGCCAGTCGCTGGGTGGAAGTTTTATCTGTGCTTGCCTCTTATCGGACCTCTATAGATGAGACAAAGACAACTCTTCGTGAACTTGAGTCGGGCTATGCTCGGGCATTGGAGACTTTAGAGGCACACTCTGCTGTTTGTCCTCAGGATGTAGATGTGACGGGCAGCTTCTTCAAGGGTGTTTTTAAGAGAGATTGAGTTTTTTTTTTTTTTACTTTCTTGCCCCTTTCGATAAAAATGTTTTATCTAGGACAATGCAATGAAATGACAAAATCTTTGCTGTTTGGAGATTTTCGCACTATTTTCTCATTCTACTTGATAAAATATTTATTTCAAATGATACAATGAAAAGAACAATCATATGCACATGTTTATAAAAGCTTAAATATTCTCATTAATTTTTCAACTTTCTTGACAAAAGTAAAAAATATTCATTGCAAGTGATGGGATAAACATACACCATAAAGAAAACCAACTTCTTCATAACGTAAGGGAAATATAGCTTTTAGACAAAATAAGAAAATGAAAATGAGTTTCAACATAGATGAGTCTATCTACGGGTAGTAATGCTTGATAAACTTTGCATTGAGCGGGCCAGTTCAGAAGCCATCTTCAACCCTTATAAGCCTGTAGTACTCGCTTAAGCTTGCCTGAACCACCATGTAGGGCCCTTCCCATTTTGGAGAAAACTTGGGCAAGGGTTGTCCTCACATGATTGGGTCTACGATCTTCCATACTAGATCACCTTCTTCGAACTTTCTTGGCACCACAGTCTGATTATAGGCTCGGGCGATGGACTCGTGATACCTTTCCATGACTTTTGCGGCTCTGTCGTGCTTTTCCTCTAATGCTTCCAATTTGGTGGTTCGAGGCTCCAGCACCATCCTTGAGGCAAGAGCCATCCGAGCAGATGGTGTTTCCAACTCTATAGGTAACACTGCCTCGGACCCATACACAAGAGAGTAAGGAGTTGCTTGAGTTGGCTCTCTCTTTGTGGTGCGATACACCCATAGGGCTACTATCAGCTGTTCGGACCAAGTCCCACCAAATTCATCCATCATCTTGCTCAGAATCCTTATCAGTGTCTTGTTTGTGGCCTCTGCTTGCCCATTCCCTTTTGGATAGTAGGGTGTGGATTTGCGATGCTTCACTTGGTAAGTCTCTAGGAGGCTCTTCACATATTTGTTTAAGAAGGGTGTGCCGTTGTTTGAGAGGATGGTGTTCGGCACTCCGAACCAACAAATGATATTTTCCTTGATAAAGTTCGCGACTGTGGGCCCTGTAGCGTTCTTCAGAGGGATTATTTCAACCCACTTTGTGCTCAATTTTGTAGCTGCGAGAATCCACTTGTACCCCTTAGAAGGTGTGGAGATGGGCCCTATCAGATCAAAAGCCCATATATGAAACGACCATGGCGTTCGGATGCTATGCAGGTCTACGGCTAGAGCATGGATCAAATTTTCGTGTTTTTGACAAGTCTGGCACCTCTTCACGTGATGGGATGCATCTGACTCCATGGTTGGCCAATAATACCCAAGGTGTATAAGTTGCTCGAACAGCCAAGCCCCTCCTTGATGCTCAATTTCGTGGGCTCTTCCGAGGACTAGATCCGACTCCTCCTTGGAGAGACACCTCAGGGGAGTGCCCTCATTGCTTCTTCTATAAAGCTTGTTCTAATCAAGAAAGTACCGCCTCGCTCTCATCTTGAGGTGTGCAATGTTCCTCGGGCTCTCAGGTAGTGTCCCCTCTTTGAGATAGTCAATGTAGACTTGTCTCCAGTTAGGGGTATCAATTTAAAAGCAACTCTCATCCTCTCGGATGTATGACTGACACTTGGGGAATTCTTTCTGTAGTTGATTCGAGGCCTTCTCATCTCGGGCCAATAATAGCCTTGTCTTTGGATCTTTCTGTACAGACTAATATCCCCATCCCCGCAGGGCTTGTCATGAATCTATCATAGTCGAAAGCTTGCTTCTTGTTAGCCAACACACCGAACTAGGAATCTGGTACCTCCTCGAAAGTAAAGTTCACCTTGAATAATTATGAATTGGGCAAGCTTGGCCATAGTCAATTTTCCAACTTTGTTTCTAAGTTGTTCGAGGACTTCTCCTCTTTAGTCCTCCGGAAGGTCTTTGTCCTTGGGTATTATTGAAGGCTCTGTTCTTTTCTTGATAACAATTGTCGTCTCTCCTCTGGAATGTCAACTCTTGCCCCTAATGTTGCGAGGGTATCTGAAAACTTGTTGTCAGAGCAAGGCACATGCTCTATTTCAACTTTCTAAAATTTGTCAAGAAACCTTTGGACTGTTGTTCGATATGTGGCCAAGGCAGGCTCCTTTAAGACGAACTGTCTTGAAACTTGCTTCACTATCAGCTTTGAGTCCCCCCGGATTTGAATCTTCTTGATACTGTGCTTCTCAGCTGCTATCAAGACCAAAATAAGAGCCTCATACTCGGCTTCATTATTCGAACAATGAAAATCCAGTTTATAAGACAAATATAACTTTTCCCCACTTTTTCTTGTAAGGACTATCCCGGTTCCTCCTTTCCCTCTTCTTGTTGCTCCGTCAAAGCTCAATGTCCAAAAGCTTTCCTCGGAAGCCATAGCTGCATGCACTTCTCCTCTCAATTCTTCATTCACTGGTTCATAGTCACCACTTGGAAATTGGGCAAGGAGATCGGCTAAGGCTTGGCTTTTGATCGCCTTAGAAGCTACACACGTGATCTCAAATTCACCCAGTGCTAACAACCATCTTGCCACCTTCCCGGTTAAAGCAGGCTTGCTGAGGAGGTATCGGATTGGATCACTTCTAGTAACAATCTGAATCTGATGTGCTAAGAATTAATGTCTAAGCTTTTGGGCAGTGAATACCAAAGCTAAACAATGTCTCTCTACCGGAGTATATCGGACTTCTGCTCCTCGAATCTTCTAGTTGATGTAATACACTGGGCGTTCTGGTCCATCTACATCTTGGACCAATAATGCCCCTATGGACTTGGGGGTTGAGCTTAGGTACAACATTAGAGGCACCCCGGGCTACGAGGCTATCATGGTCTGAGGTGAGGTCAAGGCCGCTTTGATTCTCTCGAAAGCCTTTTGGTGCTCTTGGTTCCACTCGAACTTGGCATCTCCTTTTAATAACGAGCCAAAAGGGGCAGAGATCTCTGCAAGTGCTGGGATAAACCTCCGAATATAAGACACCTTCCCGAGGAACTTCTTCAACTCCTTCTGAGAATACGGGGGAGGCATTGCTTTGATAGATTTGTCCTTGTCTTCATCTGCCTCAATACCATGCCTATGTACAAGAAACCCGAGGAACTTCCTGGCCGTCACCCCGAAAGCACATTTGAGAGGATTCATCCGCATTTTGAATTTCTGGCACCTCTTGAATACTATCTCAAGGTCTCGGAGATGGTCCTCTTCTTTCTTGGATTTCACCACTAGATCATCAACATAATCTTCCACCTCATGATGGATTATGTCATGAAAGATTGCAGTCATAGCCCTTTGGTAAGTTACTCCAACATTCTTGAGTCCGAAAGGCATGACTGTATAGAAGAAGTTTCCAAGAGGTGTTCTAAAAGTAGTCTTTTCTGCGTCCTCTTCAGCCATCTTAATCTGATTGTATCCACTGAATCCATCCATGAATGAGAACATCTGGTGTCCCGAGGTGGCATCTACGAGGGTGTCGATATGAGGTAGAGGGAATTCATCCTTTAGGCAAGATTTGTTCAAATCTCGAAGGTCTACACATATTCTGATTTGACCATTCTTTTTCTTTACTGGCACTTTGTTTGCCAACCACGTGGGGTACTGTATTGGCCGGATGAAACCAGCCTGTTGAAGTTTTTCAATCTCCTCCTTAATCTTCTCTTCGAGATCTGGATGATATTTTCGAGCAGCTTGCTTGATTGGCTTGGAGTTTGGGAACACATCAAGATAATGAGAGACTAAGTCAGGATTTAGTCCGGGCATTTCTTTATATGACCAAACAAACACATCTGAGTACCAGCTTATCAATTTTAACAATTGTTTCCGTTTCTCTGGGCTAAAGCTCGAACTTATGAATATCGGCCTTGGAGCATTTTGTCCATCACTCAGATCTATTTCAATAAGTTGTTCGGGTTAAGGCTTCGGCCCATCTTGCATGCATTCTGGAGCCACTTCAGGCTTTATTACTATGTCATTGTTAGGAGGCTCTTCTTTTGACTCGAAGTCGGTGGCTGAAGAAACCGTCTCTCCGTACCTTCACAAATAGCACACCATCTTGCCTCATTCTTGGACTTTCATTACCTTCCGAGGAATAGGCGGACTTTTTGGTTGAGACATCGCTCGTTTACTTGATTCTGCCCTTGGCTCCTTGTCATCTTTGATATCCTTCCAACGAGGAATTTTGACCCCTAGAGGCTTAGAGGTGGTGGGAATTTTTTCGACAGCCAATTCAGTGAAGTAGATGGCATCAAAATAATGAGCTTCATAGGTCTCGAAAGGCCTTTCTGTAGCCTGAATTGTCACCGCCTTTTTCCCTATTTAGCCTTAACACAATGATAACTTGACGGTACAGCCCCATATCTATGCATCCACGTCCTCCATAGAATGATGTGATAATTTGCCTCGGAATCGATAATATGGAACTTGGTGGCCAAGCAAATCTCTCCGACGAATAAATCAACTATTACACATTCTATAGTAACTCTCCTTTCTCCACCGAAGCCAGTGATAACTATTGGTTGCTTCATAATGCGCTATTCAGAGATTCTGGCTTTCTCTAGAGTAGCGCGGGTCATAATGTTGATATAGGCTCCACTGTCTAGAAAGGCCATTTTGAACTCAACCCCGTTTAATAAAAGCAGTCACATAAAGTGGGCGATTGTGAGAGAAGGGATACTTTCGATCAGTCTCGGAGAAGGTAATGGCACTAGATTGCTCTTTTGCATTCCTTGGGATAGATCTCTCGGTCGACATGCATTCCTCATGGTGTGCCTTAGCTATATTGATGATAGACTTGGTGGTTCTGTTCTTGCCTCCCTGGAAAGTCCAAACTGGTCGAAGAATTGCTTGAATTTTACACAGTCTTGCAAGGTTTTGGCATAGTGATCCAAATCTTTTTCCACTCTTGAAGGCTCGTAGTTAACCATCTCCTCGATCTCTTTAAAATAAGATACTACATAAATATGGTGTCCTCCTCTTCCATAGTACTCTTCTCCTCTTTCTGGATCGAAGGGATCTTCGACATAAGTCATAAAGGTTCTGCCCTCTGGATCGAGAACACTTCCATAGTAAACTTATTCACCTTTGAGCTCGAAGATGTCGTCCAGATAACAATCATCGTCATCAAGATTGGCGATAGGCTCAATCATCGAGTCCTCGTAAGCTATCATAGCAACATTCTTGCCCTTGTCTCGGTGCTGAGGATATGGTTGTTCTTGGATGTCTAGAGTCCCTTGATTTTTGAACCTTAATTTGTCTGCCTCGACTTTATCTCTGAAGATTTTCCTGAGAGTCCAACACTTCTTTGTCAGATGTTTCAATGTGCGATGATAGATGCAAAATTTGGGGCTCTCGCGGTCCTTCTTTGATGGCATTTCTTCGACATAAGGCAATTTTAGCTCTCCATCGGCCACTCATTCCTTAACTAGAGCTTTTACCTCCTCGATTCCACATAGATAAGAAACATTGCCCTTTTCACCACTATATTGCTTCCTCTTCTGGCCTCTATGACCCCCTCCTTGTGACTTTCGGGTATTTAGGGCAAAGGCAGCAACAACAATAGGTCCATGAGACGATTTGAAGCTAGTCTTGTAACTGCCCTTAAATCCAGACTCTTGAGCCTGAGGAGTGCTAATGTTCCGAGTTGCTTCTATTAGTGCCGAGAAGGTGGGTAGCTTATGATTAACTAGAAACATTTTGTACCTACACAATGCCCCCTCTAGGCAGATTTGAACCAAATAACTCTCCTCCACTACTTCATGGCAATCCACAGCCTTGTACTGAAACCTTTTGACGTAGTCAAGGATGTCTTCACTTTCTCGCTGCTTTTCTTTACACAATGTAAGTGTGGTCACCTTCTCCGCCACTTGAAAGAACTTGGAGTGGAATTTGTTAACCATTTCCTCCCAACTTCGGATAGAGTTTGGGGCCAAATTAACATACTAACTATATGCTCGGTCAGTGAGGGACTTAGAGAATTCTCTTAGCCGGAAGACGTGATTTGAATCATGAATACCCAGAGTCTCGATGAATCACACAAGATGTTCTCGAGCATTTCCTTGTTTGCCATCGAATTTGATGAACTTCGGCACTATATACCCCTCAAGGTATGGATAGCTCAGCATCTCAATAGGGTAAGGCGGCTTGACATTCGGATCAGGCAAAGAGGGTAGAGTCCTCTTGCCTCGTTCGAGATCGAACATGGCTTGCACATCGGCAAGAGTGAGAAACTGTTGACGGAGAGAGTTTGATGGTGGCATTCCCAGAACTTGGCTTATGGACCCGAAGACTGAGCTAGAGGCGACTTGGCCATTCTGGTGTTGTGAATTCATCGTTAGTGAAGACATTTGACGATGCTGGCCATCAACGCCTATGGACAAGCCAGTTGGTGATGGAACATTGAATTGAGGCCCGTAAAGTCCACCGCATGGAGCCGCTATACCGGGTTGGGCTTGAAAATTTGTTGTCGGCACCAAAGGAGGCTCGCTTGGTACTTGAGTAACATTTACTGGTGGTGTAACAAGATTAGGTACGGGCAAAGCTCCTTTTTGCGCCATTATGCCCCTTATATTTTCCTGGACACCAACAGTCGCCGAAGCGCCATTCATTACACCAGGACCTCCTCTAGTCATTATTGGATCTTGGCTTGGCATGCCATGGAGCCTAGGCGTGGGGAAACTACTGCCGCCTACTGTGGTTTGAGCATGTGTTATTGCGGCTGTGTTGCCATGATCCACAGGCTGACTAGGGCCTACTTCTCATTGGATTTGATTTTGCACTCCGGTGGGAATAACTTCACCACCAGTTTGATTTCCGTTTGGCGCTGGTGTAAAATTAGAACTCATCACCAACATGGTATGAGTGAGATTCTGAAGAGTGGTAAGAATCTCCTGCTGAGTATTTTGAAGTCCTTGAATAGCTTCGAGTAAAAGTGGTTGATCTGGAGCCACGGTCCTGTCATCACCACCATTAGAGGATCCTTGTTGCTGAACGTCATCTTCTCCCACCATCCTTACTGTAGTTGTGTGGGTTCCAGATCTCGTTCAGACCATTAACCAATCCATCTCCCCAGCAGAGTCACCAAATGTATGAGAGGGTTCAAGAACGTCGTTGAAAAATTCGAAGATCTTCGAAGATTCTTGAAGAAAAATTCGAATTCTCTAGAAAATGATGAGAGGCTTAGATTTTTCAATAATCTCAACTAAGAACCCAAGAGCAAAGAGATGATGGAGATAAGAGATTGGGTGAAGAAGAAGGCAAAGTAGCTAGAGAGAGAATAATGGTAAGGCTCTTCCACTTTCACTCTCAAGGTTGATAACGAAGAAGGGAAATTAGTTCTTTCCCAAGAGTTATCTCTCCAAAATCCATCCCTTGTAAAGCTATGGGTGGGTGCTATTTATAGGCACCTCATGATGTAAGATGGAGCCCATGTGCAAGGCACATGAGGGATATTCTCTCTAACCACCTTGTCTAAGGAGGTGGCCTCTCCGAGGATGAGGAAAACCCCGAAGAGGAGATCAACCTCTCGGCGAACCCTTCTTTTTAGCCACACCTAACCAATGATCCCCAATCATCCCAATGGGCCGAGGTAGTCCTAGAGGGCCCCCCCACCGCTAAATATTGCCGAGTCTTATGGACCCCTCGGGGTCGTGCCACCTCGACCCGGGTATAGGCTACGTTAACCGAAGAGTGAATTTATCTGCACTCACCGTCCTCGGAATCGAGTCTTTTGTTCGAACTCCATTCCTCCTAT